TTTTTTTTTCTATCATATTTTAACGTTTTTTGTCAATGACAATGGTATTTTTATGTCAAGTGTATATCCAAAATGGTGTGGTAAAGCTTATTTGACGTTTTTCTGATGCAAAGATTGCCTTTTAAAGCGTTTTCACGCAACTTTTAATATTTTCTGAATAGAGGTTGAAACGCTCAAACGGAAACCACGATTAGTGCGTATAACCGCGGTTTTGAAAATTCTCATCCACTTGGATAGTTACTATAGTAATTGTAAGCAGAACTTGATCATAACTTTTAAACTGTTGATCATTTTTTGTAATTGTCTATTCTATTTGTCTGAATCATTAGTTTCGTGTAGCATTTTTGTACTAATAAGAGTTGTGTTAGTTTTGTCTTTACGCTTTAAGATCTAGAACTTTTACTGAAGAAAAAACTTTTTGTGCTCTTTGTTTATTAATTAGAAAAAGTTCTCGATATTGGCTTTTTGTCACATCACGCCGTAGTTTTGTGGTGTACACAGAAGATTTCTGGATAAGGATTGGATTTTTATAGATTGATATTGTATCAAACGTCAGGGTTGGATAGGTTAAAGAGATGCATCTCTAACATCATTCCGAGGCTAAAATTTAAAAAATTTTTTCATAAGGAAATGGAAATCGTGGAGATGCGGCATCTCTTACAGAGGTGTGATGAGAGATATGGTATCTCTTGTAGAGATGTGGTATTCTCTAAAGGAGTTCGAGATGGTAAACAGAATATCATTAATGTGTCATAATTTAACATTGTGTTGTAATGTCGTTAGTATATGGAAGATCTCTTTAGAGATCTCTAAGATCCCCGATTTTCCGGATCTGCAACACTACTCAACAGGAAATAACACATTACAGCAGTGTAAGATGAAAATCTCCCTTGATCATTGCACTTCTCTTTTTCTTTTTGCAATCCTGCATGTATGGATAATTGTTGAATGAATTTTAAAAAGAATAGAGAAATTATTTTGTTAAAATATATTTTAGAAAAAATCATATCCATCAACGAAATCACTTCGAGCTTGGATTGCTGATCTTTTGGTACGAATTACTTTTTTTAAAGATTGGACTCGATTAGTAGTCAGTTATGTCAAAGACAATAAAGCTCCATCACCATTGCCACCTATATTTAACATTGGTGCTTTTTATTATCCAAAAGATTTTTCTATTGATCGATAAAGATTCATCTTTTTCAAATTTTACTCTCGGATTTTTTTCAGCTATTCTTCAAAGTTCAGCTCGATCGATTGCATTACTAATTTATCAATTGAAATTTAGTTATCAAGTTTTAGATAATGGTGAAGAACGTCAAATACAACAATCATCAACTGTAAATTCCAAAGATTATTTTTATCTATAATAACTTATATTTTTAATTGTAGACGGCACATGATATTGCTAATGGTATTATTATTGATGGAATCTATTTAGATGGTGCACAATGGAATAATCAATGTCATCAAGTTGTAGATTATACAGATCAACGTCGAACGCATCATTTACCATCTCTTCTTTGCAAACTTGTACCAGTATAGAAACTCAATTGAGGATCATGTGATGTTTGATACTTTTTTTGTAGAAAAGTAAAGAGAATGTGGATGCAACGAATATATATGAATGCCCGGTGTATCTAACAGCATTACGAGCACTAAGTGCGAGTGAAGCAGCAAAACATCTTGTTGGTACAATTACAATACCATATTCAGAAACAGAATCATTTTGGACAACACGATCAATTGCTGGTATCCTTGAAGTCAACGAATAATGTTCTGACCTTTGTTTTTTGATTCAGATGAAAAATTTTATTTTCTCCTTTTCATATCAAATAAAAAACATCGAAATTAATATTTTTTTCAAGACTACTTTTGATACTTGACATAAGCAATGCCGGGTGATATGATTAGACACATATTCATGTTTATTTTCAGTAATTGTGTTATATATAGTTCGATAGAGAATTCATTTTCTGAACAAAAGATGTATGTAATTTTGAGTTATAATGGAGAGCTGAACACAATGAAAGCCTACGCTGGGATTCTACTAGAATCATTGAAAAATCATACCGGGGTATTGCGGTAGACCGTGAGAACAGTATACTGTGCTTAATCGGAATGATTTTTTTTCAATATAAGTAGTACGACTGATAAAGAGCTATGAGGCTCTTATGACATATGTTAAAAAGAAAGCTACTCATTCCATTTTTTTTAAAGCTGTACAACCCAAACGCAAACCATTAATATATGCTTCACTTTTGTATCGACATCCAAATATTCTACGTCTTTATGGATTTTTTCATGATGAAAGAATTTATTTATTAGTTGAATATGCATCCGATGGGGAATTATATCGACGTATGCAAACAAAAAAAATTTATGCGAAAATGAAGCTGCTGGAGTAAGAATTGAAATATTATTTGAATGTTTGAATATTTAAAATCTTTTAGTAATTATGTCTATCAACTTTGTAATACTTTAAATTATTTAAATATAAAACAAGTTCTTCATTGATATGAATAGAATTTCAAATAAATATTTTTATTTTCTTTTTCTATTTAGGGGTATGTTTGAATAGATTTATAAATATGGAATTATAAATTAATCTATTCTAGATATCAAATCAGAAAATGTTCTCATTGGAAAATATGGGATTTTGAAATGAGGTGAATTTTTCAAAGAATCATTCTTGAGTTATTCGTTTTCGTTCTAACGGATTTTGGATGGTCAACTGAAAAAGTACATCGACATGCAAATAAGATTTATATGATAGATTGAATATTTATTTTAAAAGACGAACGACTCTTTGTGGTACATTAGATTATTTACCACCAGAACTCCTTTATGAAAATGATCATGATGAAAAAATTGATCTTTGATGTTCTGATGTTCTTACACATGAAATGTTAATTATATTCTCTTTGTTTTTTTAAAGATTATTGGTAAACCATCATTTGATAGTCAAACTCAATATGAAACAATTCGAATGATAAAATCAATTGAATTAACTTTTCCAACAGGGGGAACATCAGCTGATCTTCGTAATGTAATTACAAAAGAAAATTAATAAAAAATTGCCTGTTTTTGTTTGTAAGAAAGTTTTTTTTTTTATTTCATTTTAGTTACTTCGTCGAAATCCAGCTGATCGATTACCTTTGAAAGATGCTGCACAGCATACTTCGATATTAAAAAATACAGATACAGCTGTTATTGAAGATAACTATATTAAACGAAAGAAAACATTAAATAGAGAAAATTCAATTTCAATACTCTATTTAAATATTTGGACTTTCTCTTTTATTTTTCTTTGTATAAATATCATTAATTCAATCATTTATTTCTATTCAATGATTTCTACTCTTAGGTTTCTATGTAATCTATATGTGTTAAATAGTTATTGTTATGACATTAAATTCAGTTCTTCTCCACATAATAAAATCAAGTCATTATAGTAATATAAAGCAGAGTTGCAACCCACAACAGTAAACGGTCGTTTCAATCCAGTCGAGAATTCCTGACCGGTCTCGACTAGTGTTATGACGCAATCGATGTATGATAAACATAAAAACATTCGAGTGACCATACGAATTCTATTTCTTATAAATGAGAAAATAAAAATTTAGACAGATAGAAAAATAGCATTGATCGTTCATCATTGTCTGCCATGACTATATTAATATTATTCTCGTAGATGGCAATGGAAAGATCAAAGTATACATATATATATATATATATACAGAAAGGGAAAGGTAGTCGTTTAAGCAAACAAATAATAATCGTGAAACATGAATGATTCAAATAGCAACAATATTAATATACTCGATCTACCTAATGAAATTTTACTTACAATTCTTAGCAAATTAAATATGATTGATGTATTATATTCACTTGTGCATGTAAATACCACTTTTAATCGATTAATATTTGATTCTCATTATATTCATCATTTGAATTTAACAGCTAATACA